AATATACTTTCTAGACGATATACGCCAATAACCAAGAGCAACAATAATTAGACTAATCTATTCCAACCGCACATGCACTCGCGGGCACGCATGCACGCACACACACGCGCATACACACAGGTACGCCCCCTCAACACACAGACAAACACCCCCACCTATCCCCCCACACCCTCCTACCCACCCACACACACGTCGTTTTACGCTTCCACATGATATAATTTGTGAACTAACGCACGCAGTGAGGTGATGATCACACGCTATGTAAAACCCCGCCCATAACCACGCACCGTCGCGCCACCTACCGTACATCATCCACTTTCACTTTCCCCCTTCTCACGCGTATGCGTGTTCGCGTGTATTTGAAGTTTTTTTCCACCGCGTCACGGGATAGTTAATTTCGAACGATTTAGCAACTCGTTGAATTAAATTAATACCCATCTGCGGCTGACGCTGACGCTGACGTCGACACTGATGCTTCACGCGGCGAGTTGCTGTGAAATTAATTATGTAATGTGATTTCGTCATGAAAATCACCTAATTTCTTACCTACGTTATGTTAATTTTAGCTGATGTATTGACGAAATACCGTAATTACAGTGGCTGCTATCTCGTTGTATAAGTTGTTTACTTCGTCGTTCAATCCGTGCATGTTGTCGTAAATGAAACCCTGGACAGCATATCACCGGTAGTTTGTCACGTAGACGAAATGCTTGCACAATACACCGCTAGCAGGTGCGATCGAAGCGCCACGGGACAGTAACAGCCAATATTCACGCAAAGATAAATTGCTTATGGGCAATACCTGCACGTTGTCACGTACGCATTCTCCTTTTCAAAAGAAATACTCTTCAGATAAACTGCTCATTGTAGAATAATCCGGTGCATAAACAGTGTTAGTTGCAGTAAAATCGGCAGAAATAAAATTTTAGAGACGCGGTAATTATGAAACTAATTACGAAACATTGTGAAACTAGCTGTACATTGCAACCGCAAAACAACACAGCGTATAAGATGGAAGACGGTAGGCTAAAATAATGCACTGTTCTGTGATGCATGCCGACATCAAGGGTAAGCGATAAAATCATCGCCAACACGTACCTAAACTCGTCTTTCTAGTTTTCCTCGCAATTTTAGAGAACTATACTTTATTACTTAAGACTCTTCTTAGCTTAAATAATTATTATCCCTCTCTCTCACTTTTTTTAAAAATTCGCTTGCAAGACTGATAATCTCACATCTAGCTAAGAATCAAATGCTGCAGCCAGGAAATAGAGACCATATCTTGCTCAAATCAAGCAAGCTAAGGATCAAATGCTGCAGCCAGGAAATAGAGACCATATCTTGCTGAAACCAAGCAGGAATCATATCATGCTGATATCAGGAGGGAATAATAATAGATCTAATATATCTGTTATTATTCCCTCATGCTGATATCAAGCAGTAATCATGACATGCCAACCGGGAGCGTAGTAGATAAACGCGCCGGACAGAGACACCTAATGAGCAATGGAGCAGCAATTAAAGGACACGTAATAAAGCAAACCTGACAGAGCAATGACACGGGAGGCGGAAGCCATGATAAATCGCACGATTAATGTCCACGGATGGCCAGCGATTCGAATAATTCGCTCTATGGAATGAGCAGAGCGCGATCTTGGCATTATTCTACATTCTACTCAATCGGTGTGACTGGTAATACAGTAGCAGTCCTCACCCCGCATCTATACCCCCCCCCCCCGCTGACCGCACTGTCCTCTACGTATCCACGTGAGATGAGGGACACTCGAACGTGTACGTCACTCCTCCATCTACTCTGATTATTATCTTATAATTGCTGAAATATGATTAGCCGGATCATGTCGCCTCCGCAGGGCCGTTGCCTTCGTGACGTCACGGCGCGCGCGACCGGATCACGTAACCGAGCAGCCGACGTCAGCCCGCAGGGTCCCGGGTTTAAGTCGCTGTGTCGCTGTGTGCACACGCTGGGTGCTGTGGGTGCTCTCACACCTCCACCCACACACACACGCGCCGTGGCGAGAGAGCATTAGTCTGCACAGCGTGCATGCGTGCGTGCGTGCGTGCGTGCGTGCGTGCGTGCGTGCGTGTGGACATAACAGGCGCCCGTCGCTGCGCGCAGCACACACACACACATGCGCCGTGGTGAGAGAGCATTAGTCTGCACAGCGTGCATGCGTGGGTGCGTGCATGCGTACATACCAGGCGCCCGTCGCTGCGCGCAGCACACACACACACATGCGCCGTGGTGAGAGAGCATTAGTCTGCACAGCGTGCATGCGTGCGTGCGTGCGTGCGTGCGTGCGTGCGTACATACCAGGCGCCCGTCGCTGCGCGCAGCACACACACACGCGCGCCGTGGTGAGAGAGCATTAGTCTGCACAGCGTGCATGCGTGCGTGCGTGCGTGCGTGTGCGTACATACCAGGCGCCCGTCGCTGCGCGCAGCACACACACGCACACGCGCCGTGGTGAGAGAGCTTCAGTCAGCGAGCGCTCGGAGAGAACTTAATTAGCACGCCGTGTTTACCCCGCAGCAGCGTGCGTCGTAGCTTGCGAGGCCAGGCGAAAAGCGGAGAGGGATAGCGAGAGGGGGTGAAGACAACCTTGTGTTCACTCCGACACATGAGAGAAAGTCGGAAGAGGTGCAGGGGAGGGGAAGTTATATAACTCTGTATTGTTTACCTCGTAATTTATATGAAGCGTGAACGGTGGGTTGTGGGGGAGGGAGAGGGAGGAAGAAGAGAACTTGTGTTTAATCTGACAGATGCCACGTCTGAAATGCGAAGAAAAGAAGAGCGAGTTATATGACTTTTACGTGTTTACCTCGTAATGTAGATGAAGTCTGAACGGTGGGAAAGAGAGAGAGAGAGAGAGAGAGAGAGAGAGAGAGAGAGAGAGAGAGAGAGAGAGAGAGAGAGAGAGAGAGAGAGAGAGAGAGAGAGAGAGAGAGAGAGAGAGAGAGCTTTTATGACCTTTTAGTGTTTATCTCGAGATATACGATATAATCTGAAATGCGGGCAAGGGGAGAAGAGAGATATGACTTTGTCGTGTTAACTTAGAGATACAGAAAGACGTCTAAACGTGACAGGAAGAGAGGCAGCGAAGTTATACGATCTTATCGTGTTTTCTCTAAAACCGCTCTAAAACAGCGAATCGGAGGCATAATAAAACACAGACGAGTTTTTTTCTCGAAGCCGCGCTCGATTTTTCTTTCTTGCTTGAATCTCGTGCATAATACATACCCTTCTCGATAGAAAGAACTTCACCCCCCCCCTTCATCTTATGCATTAAATTATTCGCGTGGTGTTCTGTGTTCTAGTAATTGATCATTGTCTATATGCATATATGCCGGTGCACATCGAAACATAACGCTAGATCGTATCCCTTGTCTCCAGACAGGATCAATATCCCACGGGTGGTAAACGACGTCGGGACAGTCTAATGGTGTGTGACTGTCACTCAAGTGAGTTTCTGTTCTTTTCGCGGCACATTATGGCTAGATGTTCGAGGAGCTTAGCAGGCGCTCCGCACAGATGATGATCTATCCAAGGATTACTTCTGCATTACTCCTAGATCTACCGTGCTATCCCTGCATAATACTAGTCTTTCTGCTGCTGGTGCTGCTGCTGCTGCTGCTGCTGCTGCTGCTACTGCTACTGCTACTGCTGCTGCTACTGCTACTGCTACTGCTACTGCTACTGCTACTGCTACTGCTGCTGCTACTGCTGCTGCTGCTGCTACTGCTGCTGCTGCTACTGCTGATACAGAGAATACGAGATCAAGCAGTTTTACGCTTAAAACATTATAACTCATACGTGCCATAAAAAGGTACGTCCAAACTGTCCAATGCGCGTACGACAGGGCTAGATAGGAACTCGTGCGCTCCAATGCACGCAATCAAAACCTCGATTTTCTTCATTCCAAGCCAAACCCTAATTCCATCTCTATCGATTCGCACCCGACTAAAAATGTAAAAAAAAAACATGTCGAATGTGCCGTGTACGGAAAGTGGCGGACTGCGTCAGGAAAAACCGCCGGCCCCACTAAATTTGCCCACTAATCTAATATGTTATAATTATCTTAATATGATCAAGTTTCCACAACCGAGAGAGAGAGAGAGAGAGAGAGAGAGAGAGAGAGAGAGAGAGAGAGAGAGAGAGAGAGAGAGAGAGAGAGAGAGAGAGAGAAAGAGCAGAGAAGGGTAGTACGCAGTAAGTTACATAATATCAGAAGTCATAATATTGATGGTCAACAAAGATTTAAAGGCAGAATAATTGTGTCTACATCAGATTACGCAGAGTAAAATGTTTAGTAAAATGTTTCTACCTCGAAAATTTTGAACGCAAAGGTAAAAACTACTTGAAATAAGCAATGCAAGCAATTTAAAACGGCCAAGAACCACGTTGAGCTTGTAAGAATAGCAGCGGCGTAATAAAATATAATTGATATCTAATTCTATCTAAAACAGACTTACGGCACGTCGTCAAAAACATTTATAGAATATAAATACTTAAGCGCACACCCACTCAACCTCAAACATTACAGTGCACGCACGCACGCACCGACGCACGCACGACGCACCGACGCACGCACGACGCACGCACGTACGCACCAACGCACAAGCACACGAACGCACGCACTCGCCCACTCACGCGCATTCGTACGTACATATACACCGTCGCAGGCACATGCACGTGTACGGCCTACAAGCATAAACCACTGGCGCACGCACGCGCACACAAACAGACGCAAGCTGACACTGAATGTCTCTCTCCGCTGTTAATCTTCGTACGCACGTTTACAGAACGTGAATATCTCTCAACAAGGCAGAACAGACGTAAAACAGAACCTCATAACCGGACACTTACGAGTAAACTATTCTCTGATGACCCACTAGAGAGCTATACATACATATATATATCGTATAGATCATCAGAGATATATATTACAGTATACGGAATTATTAACTCTTGATATAATACAGGATAAGGTATTATTAAAACTCTTGATATATTACAGGATATGTATTCGATGTTTATGTGTGCGTGCTCGCGTACATATGGTTACTTTAACATACCTCGCTAACTACAGAACGCTAACAAAACGCAGGCACAGCGGGAAACAACTCGCTTAACAAGTATGAGAACAACTCACAACAACCGCAGTGGCTCGACACGCGCCGCGCAGTCGCACGTCAAGTCAAGCACGCAGTAGATGAAGCGACCGCGAATAGCGGATCGTACACTAACGACTCATCACGCTGTCCCGTGCGCGCCTGCCTACACGGGCGGGCCGTGGCGCCAGCAGAATGTTAATGATGATCGGAAAGAAAGCCATGAATCCCACCCGCTCGTAGAGCAGGGGGGAGGTGGGAGGTGGGTGAGTGGAGGAGGAGGGGGGGGGGGCGGTAGCGACCACGATGAAAAAAGCAATTAAATAGTCGACGACATCTGACTGTTTCGTGAAGGGTTCCATGAGTGTGAGGGATGCTGTGACAGAGAGATGCTGGGAGAGACGTTGTGCGGGGAGGTCTGCTCTGTGCTTTTTCCATGTCACACCGAAGATGGGTTGTTCTTGAACAAATACTCCGCCTGCAATAAGAGAGAGAGGGACAACGGCTAATAACTGTGGATAGCAGGCGTGCAGCGGTCTATAGGGCACGCAGTTACACCGCACTCAGCGTGCGTGACCACTCCAGCGCACTGCCGTATTTCCTGTGACAGAAGAAACCAAAAATGGCTTCGCCGATATGCATCGCGTTAAGATGCAAACCGAGAAATCTGCAGCAGGTAATGTAGGGTGAGGTAATGGGTTAGCATAATATCATCTATAGCGGGAGGGAGACAACCAGCAATGCCTTTCTGTCCGTCTATCAACACGTCGGTAGCTCTGCTCTTACAAAACAATTTGCGCTGAACTACTGATTTAAATGAAAGTGTCAAATGCGAGTGAAAACAAGTAACTGTAATTGTAGGAATAATGAGTAGGGTGGGTGTGTCGTGCGTGTGCGCTTGTGTTTTCTGCGCCGTTCCCTGACGCCTACAAACAGTCAGTCACTTAGACACAATCATCACCTCGGAATCCCAAACACATGTTCTTACACGGATTCTGTCGCAAGGTTAATGCCAGTAGCAAAAACAAACACGTTCACACGCGATGAGTAAGAAGTCAGTTTTAATTGAGCAA